ACTCGCTAAAGCTCAGCCAGGATTGGGAAACCCAAAGCGTCTTCGGAAGATGCCCTTGAGGCTCCTGGTCTGTGTCCGAGTTCTGTGTTAGCAGCCCCACCTCTTACCCTGCCTGGAGGGCAATCAAATCTTTGCTGATGAAAACTAATGAGAAAATAAACTATTGATCTTAAAAGCCAAACCAACAACCAGAAAAGTCCAAGTTCACTTACAAACATGAAAACAACAATTTCAGCTCCTAACTAAAGCAAACAAAAGAGCCAGCATGATCAAGCTCTGTTTATCCCAGGAGCACTGCAATGGTTGGACACTAGAGTATCAATGTACATCATCTTACCAACAGATGATGGAAGAAAAACCACGAACGACTCAACAGACACAAAGTAATACTTTGACAAAAATAAACATGAATGATTTTTTTTTAAATCCTAAAACAAACAAAAACCCCACAACTCCTAGCAATCAGGATTAGAAAAGAGTTGTCTTAATCTGATATAGGCTAGGTAGAAATACAAAAAACAGAGCATAAATGTTGTAAATGTCATAACTGATGATAAAGCCTTAACAGAATTTCTCGAAAGTTAGTAATGAAACAACCACTGTTCTGTCACTGTTTCTGTTCAACACACTACAGGAGGACCTCACCCCCCCCCCATCAAGATTACAGAATAAATACATTAAAAGAACAAAAACAGAAAAACAGAGGATTTCAAAAGAAGAGAAAAAACGGTCATGATTAACGGACAATAGGACTTCTTTGTAGAAAACTAGGGTAGAATTAATAAAATAAGAAGAGAATTCTCAAGAGTTTTCTGGCTACAACCACATCCCATAAGGCCGAGATGCAGCTTAGTGCCAGTCATTAAAATAAGAAAAATATTTAAAAATCGATTGTGATCCTATATGCCAGCAGAATGTTAGAAAATGTAATTAAAGTTATATACACATTAATTAACCTTCATGGTGATCTTGCAAATAGTACTACTGACCCCATTTCACAGATGAGGAGATTAAGGCTCACAAAGAACTTAAGAAATATGCCCAGGATTGCAGAGCAGGGAAAGAGGGGGGCAAGGCAAAGGACGCACAGGTCTGCTTGAGGCAAAGCTCACACTTCCTTCTATAAGTTTTCAAGCCATGCTGATGGCCCCTGACTTTTCCTGTATTTTTTCAGAACGAAGTAAGGGTACGAATAGATAGCCCAGTGCTTTTGCCAAGAAGAAACCAGCTGACAAAAGTAGATTTAAGCAATTAGAAAGGGTATACGTGTCATGTTCCTGAATAGAAGACTCACCATCCTAGGACGTCAACAAGCGTAGCCAGACAAATCCTAAGCACGGCAAGGGTAGGGGGTGCGCGTGTGTGGTGGTGAGGGTCAGGAAGACCTTACCAGATACGAAAAACACATTTTAAAGTCTCTATAATTAAAAAATGTGGCATTTGTGCATGAGTAACCAGACTAATAGAACAGAATAAAAAATTCAGAAATAAACCCAAGTATCTATGGGAATCTAACATTATAAATCAGGAAGAGGGAAAAAAATGGGACTTTTTATTAAATGGCTTTGGGATAATCACATAGCTATTTGCAAAATTACAAAAATGGATTCATACCTCAGTCCATATATGAGGTCGAATTCCAAATGGTTGGGGAGCTAAATGGCAAAAAAGACAGCAGTGGTAGAAGTCAGGCGAATTCCTTCCTAACTCGAGGGTGGGGAAAACCTTTCTGCCATCGACAACCTAAAAGCATGCAAGAAATGATCAATCTGACTTCTATTTTTTTTTGTTCTTGGCATGGCAGAAATTCATACATATTGCTGATGGGAATGCAACATGTTTCCACCTACAGCAGAAGGATCTGTTAAAGTCTAGAGAAATTACATATTCATTGTCGGATCTAGTGATCCCACTCCTAGGAATCCATCCAAAAGATTCAAGATTCAAGGCCGAAGACAACTTTTCAGGCAGAATAATACCCCCACCCGGGAACTCCACACCCTAATTCCTAGGACCTGTGAGTACTAGTTACCTGACTTTGCAGATATGATTACCGTTAAGTGCTTTGAAATAGAGAGATTATTCTGGATTATCTGGGTGGGTCTGGCCTGTTCATGAGTCCCTGCCAGTGGCCGAGATAGGAAGGAGGGTAGTCACAGATAGGAGGAGGAGGAGTTGAAGCCCGAGAAGGACTGGATCCGTCACTGGTGGCTCAGAGGGTGCAGGAAGCACGGTCACGGGCCTAGGAACATGGTGGCCATGGATGCTGGGGATGGTGATGGGCAGCTGGGTTTCTAGAACCATAAGGGGTGAATTCTGACAACACATGAATGAACAAGGCCAGCGACACCCTGATTGTAGCCCAGGAAACCTGTGTTGGCCCTGTGACCTATAGAAGTGTGAGTTAGTGCACGAGTGCTGTTTGAACCACTTAGAGTTTGGTCCTTCATGACAGCAGGAAGACAAGGGGTGTGCACTGCAGGGGGAGCCCTGGCACATGGGCATGGGGAGGATTGCGTCTGCAGGAAGGGACAAGGAAAATCTGCCTGAGGGATGCGTAGGGGTCCTCAGGACCCGCCTCCAGGCCAATGGAGTGAGAAACAAGGAACACAAGTGTGTGTATTTGTTTATGTTGCCCAAAACAAGGAAGGGTAAACCGAAAATCTAACATGGGACTTTTGGGGGACAGAGGCCACAGGGTAGAGGGGGAAAGAGGAACATGAATGTTTCTAAATAGACTTTTTCCATGGTTTTGACTCTGAGCTCATGCGAATGAGTTACATGTTGGAAAATAAAGTAAATTTCAAATATTTTAACAACTTTTTAAAGTAAAATGATTTTTCAAGAAAGCAGTCATTAAAAAATGAAAGCAAAAGAACAAAATGAAACCCAACCCTGGAATGAATGGACCTAGTTTTGTATGAAGCTGCTGATGTAACCACACAGAGAAAATAACTTAGAGCTCCGTATTTTGTTTGTACGTCCATAGCGCAACACAGCCCAAGGACAAATACACCGCATTCAACAGTCTTATTGTGAGGCGTACCGTTGAAATTATCACTGTGAAACTCTTTGTACGAGAGTAGGAGAAAGAACATAAGTAATGATGTTAATATTTCTAAAAACACAATTTTAGAAAAAAGGTATTTCAACCATAAATTCAAAGTTAAGAGTAATCTTAAGTTTGACTGGAAATACCAGCATGAACTCATGATGCTTTTTTTCTCTGTCCCCTGGAAAGGACTCTGAGATCATACCCTGAGCCTAAGGCAGATGCTTAATCGACTGAGCCCCCCAGGCACCTCTGATACTAAGGAATATTTAATTAATCATATCAGGTGTGATAAGGGCATTATAATTTTGAAAGTATCTGTATTTTAATGTAAAGATTTTATTGAAGGAAATACAGACATACAGTCAAGTACCCTGACCACAGGGTGCGCACTCAGATGTCACCCACATCCTGACTGAGAAGCGACACTCCAGCGTGCCGGGGCCTTCAGTCACCCTCTCCAAGATAAGACCCCAACACCAAACATTACTTTTTCTTGTTTTGGAACTTTATATAAATGGAACCAAACAGTGTCTACTCAAAAACCTGAGTCTGGCTTTGTTTGCTCAACACCATGTCTGTGAAATTTTGTCCGCAGTGTTAGGCGCACATATAGACAGAGACACAGCCTGAAAATTTCATGGTGAAACGACGTGCGGTCTGAGATGTGCTTTAAAACCCTAAGGCCAAATCAAACCATCAGGCCGTACACCTTAAACTTAGTGATAGATATATGTCGACTATTTTTCAATGAAGCTGGGGGGGATAATGTATAAATGTGTATATAGAAATAAAATTATGTCCATGTGTATGTACCTACATATGTATAAAGAAGTTAAACTACCTAACCAGATGAGCTAGAATTGGTCTTCATGAGATAAAGTGATTTTTCTCCTGTATTTTCCTCTCTGTGTTTTAAAGTTCGCTGTTCTCATTTTGGTTTTCATTCACTGGGGACCTCTGTTCTCACTCGGTGTGAGGTAGGGACATGCTGTTGATTATTTCCTGAGGAAACGGGTTGTTCAGGCCCTTCTGTCGATGTGCCCTGACCAGCTGATTCTCACTTTCAGGTTCCTGCATCTGTTTTCAGAAATTGTTGCTTAATGGAAGATTTGTGGATGCATGTGGACTTAATTCCCTGAGTTACGGCCAGTTTCCGAGAGTGAGTTGTCTTACAACAGAATACCAGCACAGCGACGAAAGTCCCTGAGATTTTACTGGAGGAGAGAACTGCTGTGACACTTTCTCCTTCCACAGTTTGTCTCCTCAGCTTTTTATCTCCTGCTCTTGTGGGAACTGGAACTGTGGCTCGTGTGGTGCCCCCAGTCCCGGGGAACCCCGCGTCCAGGACCCTGTGGGATTTGTGCGTGGGGCTCCTCGAGCCCAGTGCCTCCCACCCTTCCCCACCCTGGCTCCAGTCCTCAAGGAGCCTCAAGGACTGCTGGTCCTTGACTGTGATGTGTGTTCCTTTCTCCCAAGAAGGAAATTCCTCCTTTCTGTGTACTGCCTGGAATAGTGCTTGGGAACAAACCCGCTCTCTACACGTTGCGGACACGTTCCCTCACGCCATAGACAAGTTGTACCAAAAAAAAATCTTATTTGTACATTTGAGAGCTTATTGTTACCCGGAATTCAAAAGAAATAAATCAGCTATGCTATCTAATTTGGGTACCTAGTTGGAGCCGAAGCTCAAATGTGAAGCCCTCTTATCACTCCTTCTACAGTCCATGCAGACCTCAGCCTAACATCCTGTCCCTCTTACCTTTCTACATCCTGCCCCCAGCAGCCCATCGTCTCCAGTCTCTGGCTCTCGTCCTCCAAGCCCCCGCCCTGGGAGGCACTGTGCCCCCGACTAGCCATTCTGTAGACGCAACAGTCCCCTGACTCCCACGCACAGGGCCATGAATGACTGTCTGGAAACCCTGCAGTCCCTCCCTCGAGAGCGTACCTGACCCTCCACGATCCACCTGGAGATGGAGGTCTTCCCATCGTAGCCCGGTCGGAACTGAAGCGTGGCTGAGCGGGGGCTGATGTTGGAAATGACCAGATTAGACGGGGCGCCAGGGAGCTCTAGAGACAAAGGAGAGAAAAGACGTGGAGATGCAAGTTCCCACAGCTCAGGAAACGCACCAAACATGTCAGTCAGTAAACGGTTTCAAAATGCCTGGATTTGTTTTCAAAACCACGTGAGAAACACTGCTTCCCCGGGGACGTGACCACCACACGATCCTTATGCTCTGGGTGCCACACACTAGGCTCCACGCCTCGGAGGTGGGACGATGACACATATTTATGTGGTCTCTGGATTATCCGCCCTGAAGGTCAGGACTTACTTATCTCCATGCGCGGCAGGTAATTAACAGATACTCATTGAAGGAAGAAAGGATGAAAGGATGGGATGCTTCCAGGCTCTGAAAAGAACACAACCAAACGTCCACCCTCCCCTTGGTGATGACTGTGATGCCAGGCACGCAGACTGGGGCGGGAGGGAGACAGCAGGTGCCGCATGGGGCTGCTGGGTGTGCGGGTCCTGAGCCCTAGGCCCCGGGTGTGGTTTCCAAGACAACCGCGTTCAGGTTTAAGTGCAGAGCTCTCCCCACTCTGCCTGAGCTCAGTTGCTCTGGCAACTAAGTGGGTGAGAGGGGGGTTCTGATGGGCTCCCATCCTGGGAGGTTACCTGGGGCTGCAGCCTACTCACTGAATAGAGACTTTCGGCCAGGCTGTCCCCCAACCCCAAAGAGCCTGCCCCACTCACAAGTGAGATGCCACCAGTCTGAAATGCGGGCTCCCGTCTTACCAGGCAACACAAGCTATTCTGGGGAAAGACTCTGGGATGGAAAGAAGGAGAGAGGGACGCCGTGCAGGGGGCAGGGGCGGCATGCTGCGTGCACAGCATCTGAGGGGCGCCTCCTGGTCCAGTCCCTGGTCCTGAGGGGCCGGAAACCCAGACTCGCACGGGGACGATCGAACTGTTTCAGTGATCTGTTGGGCACTGGCGCAAGGGGCCTTTTCGCATCTCGTGTAATGAATCTGAAGCAGAAAATGTTGACATCAAAGGACAAGTGACTCTTGTCTTTGTAAGTCTCCACTCACTGGATTCTCTCCATGGTGCTCTAGATACGACTGGATGTTGACTTCCAGCACAGCTGGTGGAACACAGACCTCCAGAGGGATGGTCATTGTGAGGGGACGCCTGGGGTCCTTCCCCAGCTCTGGGTGACCTGACGTCTCGGGGAAGCGGCAGCCTCTCCACTGTTTCCATCCCCCAAGCTCATGAGGGTGTACTCGGCACAGTGTACACCCCCCACCCCGGCCACTGAGCTGCTTTAGAAGGCCCTGGGGTGCTGCTGTGGGGGAGGGTGCAACTGCTGCTCCCCGGCAGGCAGGGCAGGTGGCTGAGGGCCTCTAGAAAGTGTCCTCTGAGCTTGTCCTGTGGAGGGGGGAGGAAGTATGGCACCTCCTCCTCGGCGCCCCCCAACAACTCAGAGGGCTGTCGGGCTCTCTCCAGACAGTCCCTGAGAAGAGGACACACTCGTTCCTGTGTGGGTTTCCTGCTTTACTGTATGTGTTTTACATGCTTTGCATCCTGTGCAAGAGAACAACGGGCTCTGAACGCAGGTCTGGAGGCGCAGGCCACTCTAGGAGGGAGTGCTGATTTTGGAGGGAGCTTCAGGGCCTCCTCTTTGAAGACTGACCCGCATGAGGCAAACTGACATCTTTTAAAGAGCAAGAGGCCCACAGCTCTAATTGCAGAACTGAACCGAGAGCCCCACAAGGCTTCCTCACATTCCCTCGCATTTGTGAATTCCCAGGAAAAACACTTTCATTTCGAACACAAACTTAAAATCTGAGAGAAAAGAGTTGAGTGCAGAGCTCTGAGGCTGAAATGAGTGTGCTGTGCGTTGAGGAAGGTAATCTGAATTTCCAAAAGGACAGGGCAGCAGGCATCACAGGTGCCCACACCGCAGAGCGACCAGCGGAGCACCCTCCCCGAGCCGGTGGGGACGGTTGCCTCCATCTGGAAGACCTTCCCTTCTCTCCCACCTCCTCCTACTCCCTTCTCTTATTGCAAACCAAATCGCCATGGTTTTGCTGAGTGAATAAAGCTTTATGCTTCCTATTCTTTGTTTTAATACCCCTGCCTCCTCCTGCTCACTTGGGAGGAAGCCTGCATCTCCCTATCCGTGGACCCTGACCGATGGTCTCCCTGGAGGACAGGACCTCGGGGCCAGCTCGCTCCCTGGGGCACGCTCCCTCCAATCTGTACCCCAACTGCAGACGCTGGAGGACAAGGCCCAAATTGGGTTACGATCCACTCGCTACCCCACCGCCCCCTCAGGAAGCGGATGTCACTCTTCGGAAGGACCCCAGGCCCGCGCACAGGGTTGCCATCCACCCAGAACACCAGCAATCTCAGAGCACCATGCCCTTAAAGACGTGGCCACAGGGTTTTACTGACCTGGGGGCACTCCAGAAGAAATGGTGGATGAGGTGGCCAGGCCAGTCCCTGCGGCGGTGACAGCGGCCACATCGATGGTGTAGGTGGTGAGCGACGACAGTCCTTTGATTTTGTACTCATGAGTCGTGTTACTGAGGGAGTGGGTGAGCCGGGAGCCATTCCGACCGTACACCTCCCAGGAAACCTGGTAGCCTGGGGAGCGAGAACACAGGGTTAGCTGAGCTGTCCAGGGGCTGCTGTTGTCACTGAGGAGCTGAACCGGCAGGAGAGCCCGGCAGGTGTGCTGAAGCCAGGAGGGAACCTGCTGCCCCGCCCACACGAGACTGCCAGCCAGGCCCTTCCTCCATCCATGGGGTCCCCATCCCCCTGCCACCCAATGGACAGCGGGAGCCCGGCCCCCAGTGCCGGAGCTGGCTTGAGGAAAGATGAGTGATGGCTGTCAGCCTGTGGTGCCTGATTTCATCTCGTGTCAAACTGTGGGTGCGTTTCATCAATATTTCCATTTTTATATGCTGATATTTTCATTACATACTACTCTAAATCGGGAACCTGCTCCTGGCTTGCCACTAATTCGTGGAAACACTGCCACTTTTTCCCTCCTGAAATGATTGATGGGCGCTCTCCGCCACGCAAAATGCTTTCCCTAAAAAGTCCCTCTCTGCCGGAGTGCCTGAGTTCTCCTGCGTCCCCACTCTCTGAACCTCCTGTTTTCCTGGTGAAATCTGATTCTCCCCTGGTCTCTGTTCAGTTCAGTGGGGCCTTGTGACCACAGTTTATCCAGCCCCAGATTCCACCGTGACTTCAGGCTCAAAGAAGGACGCCCCAGCGATATCTTGAAGCAGACCCCGTGGAGGGGAGTTTATGTGGTTGGAGGCCTGGCAGAGCATCTCCTCAAGTGGGAGACAGTGATGGAAGGCGCTCGTGGGTGCAGAGGCAAGGGGGGGCCGCTGAAAATGCTTGCTCCTCCTTCTTTCCAGTCAATAAACTAAGGGATACCGAAGCACCAAGAGGCGTCTTAAAGCTCATTCTGATGAAAGCAATAAATATAGTTAGAAACTTGTGCTTGCAGGTAAACAAGAATTTAGAGAGCATCTCGGGACTTTTAATATTTTGAAAAACACAAAAAACAACCCCCCCCAAAAAAAAACCGAACGTTAGAAGCCGCTGCCTATCTGCAGTCCCACAGCCTGGAGACTCGTGTGTGGACACCAGGCATGCAGGCTGGGTGGTGCTGATGGGACATCTGGGAGAGCAGCAGAGGGGTACCGGCATGGCCCCTGCCCTGCATGTGCATCTCCCATTACCTTCTGGTCCCAACACAGGCCCCTGTGCTCTGCGCAGCCTACCTGGGCCATGGGCTCCCCCAGACCGCCCACTGCCCTGCTCCCTCCAGACCTCAGACTCTCCCTCCTCACACTCCCTGCGCCCCATGTCCAGCCTCCGCCCTCCTCAGTGCACCAGACAAATCAGTTCTTTTCATTTTGTTAATTTGGGATTTTGGATCTAATGGTACAATCACCAATCAAGCCTTCTGGGCAATGAGTATCAGGATCTTCAAGCGTCCAGAGTGTTCCCAACGTTCCTGGCGTTCCAAGCACGTCCCCTACATTAGTTCATTCGGTCCTCACAGCAGGACCTCCACTTCACCATCCCCATTTGCAACAGAGAACACGAAGGTGCAGAAGGGTTCACGAGCTTCCTGGAAACTGGCAGGGGTTTCTAGGGTCGGCCCGAGCTCCCGGCTTCCCCACAGAGCCTCCGTCTGTGCACCGGCTTCCCTCTGAAGCGCAGATGTGCGTGAGCGTGCCTGACCACCCCTCGACCTCGGTGGGTCACTCCTGATACATCACTGAACGATCTGATCCTCGGAGTCTTTCCTGAACGTCCAGGAAGAGAGGGCTTTATGTTCCAAGCTTGTCTGCCAGGCAGTTAACTTGTTTAGAAGCTGTTCTTGATCAACATTTACGAAAACACAGCATGTGGCTCGTCATGGCAACCTGGACTCCAAGCCCGGAGCTTCCAGCATCCTCGGGAGGGCAGCGCTGCTGGGGTCTGTGACGTCAGGCTTGGGGGTAGGGTGGCATCGTGGATGCGGATGAGACCAAACGACACAAGCAAAGCCCCCTCCCCCCACCCCGCTCTGGCAAGAGAGCACGGCCCGGACAGCTTGCCGCACACAATGGACAGAGCGGGGTGCATGGGGGTGGAGGGGTGCCCGGGTTCCCGCACCGCTCCTCAGCAGGGGGGTGGTGCATGGCGGCTCGGGAACAGCCAGAGAAGGTGGAGGGGCTGCCCCAGCCGGTGCTCGGTGCCTTTGGCGGGCGGGTGTCCTACCTGCTCTGAATGCTGCCTAATGGAGACTAACGACCGCAGGAGCTTCAGAAATAATTTTCTGTTGATCTGAAGTAAATTCGCTACAGGAGAGCAGTACATCCAATCACAAGCTGTCTGTCTGCATCCTGGCCCTCATAAATCAGGGTTTGCGCAGGGTGAGCGGAAGATGCTGGAATTCACAATAAGTGCGATGGGCAATTTGCTCGGCCCTCTGGCTGCCCCTGCTCGGGGCTGCCCTCTCTCTTGAGCCCGAGGCTGCTCGTTGTGCATTGTGGCTGATAAGGAAGGGCTTCCCCCAGTGTCTGGACCACCAGGGACCCCATGTGGAGGACCACGCCCGGCGCCATTCATCCGCCCTGCGGAGGCTCCAACAGCAGCTGCACCAACAAGGAGGCTCTGACAGCCCCAGTGCATGATGTTCCGAGGCTGGCTGTGCCCACAGACCGGGCTTTTCTTCCGCTTGTGGGGGAGATACTCGGTCTGGAGCCTGGGATAGACTGGGTGGTGCTGCTGGCACGCCCTGCCCGGAGCTCTGTCCGTGGGGAAAGCAGACCTGTCTGCGGGGGCAGGCCCGGCCGACGGCTGGAGGGACAAGCACTGAGGGGCAGGAAGAACCGCCGTTGGGTTCAGCTCCCACAGGCTTCTTCCTCTGCAGTTTTCCCCAGAGCTCCTGGGACCCTGGGCACAGTTCACAGGGGAAAGGAGACAGCACAGGCCAGACGGAGTGAGACGGGGCACGTGTGGCCACTAGGAGGGAGGAGGACCCCAGTGGGCGGCCATCGGAAGGCCAAGCTCCACGTAGACTATAGGCTCTGCTTGTAACGACACGGATTTGTTTAAATAAAATACGAAATGAGTTCATTAAGCCCTATTAGCTGGCGAGAACGGAGGATCATAAATTGCGATATTGGCAAGCAGCGCTCGGCCGGGAAGCGCCGGCCCCGCTCGGGGGTGCGTGCGCCCGTGGCTTCCCTGAAGCTTTACACCAGGACTGAGGTGTGCGCTGTGTTCACGAAGGCCCACACGCGTATCGAAGGAAGTCAGTCCCCACGTGCCAACGTCCACCCGGGAGCCCTCACCAGGTGGCTGCGGCTCGGCTGTGGTGAAGGCCACGGGGACGCTCCGGCTCTGAGACAGATGGTGAATGTGAGCCTCACTCCAGCCACAGGACCCCCAGTCCCTGAGGGGTCTGCTGGAGACTCTCTGCTTCCAAGGGCAGCCTCCCTCTACGTGCTTCTGGTGTTTTGCTCTTTTGTTTTTCCTAGCACTGCCCGGCCTTTGTTCTCCCTCCGGATGGCTTAAAGCAAAGTCAGACTACAAGGGCTCCCTTCTCTGCCCATCCCCCACTGCGTCCGGCTCCCAGGCTGCGGGGGGGCCTCTGTGACCAGCACATGCACACTGGCCATCCTGGGCTGGAGGCAGAACGCACGTCCCAGCTCCTGTGGTCCAGTTCCCGTAGCTGTTTCTCCCCTGCCTGGAGTTCCGTTGTTGCTGGCTGTAGGTTATGTCACAGCATCAGCTCTGGGGCCAGGCCAGACCCATACACGTACTCTGATGAAACGCTGGGGGACGGGCGGCTTCAGAGCAGAGGTGCCCTCTGGGATCTGTGGGGGGCTCTGGCTGAGCACAGGTGACTATGCCGTGTTCTGTGATAAGAAGCAGGAGGGGTTGGCACCAAGAGGTTTCCTGACTAATGGGAGAGAATAGAGGCATTTAGGAGAGGAACGCAGTCCCCAAGCTCTGCCCTAGGGCACCCAGACACCGCCCAGAGCCCTAGAAACAGTGCAGGGACACTGTGATGCTGGGCACCTCCCGCATCACTGGGGGTTGCGGGGGAGACATTCCCCCAGGGAATGTCCCCGGGGATGACAGAGAGCTGGAGCTTGAGCTGTTCTCAAGGTTAGGGTCAGGGTGTGTTATGTACCCGTCTGGGCACACACCCTGTCTTTGCGAAGCTGAGTTTCTGGTGGTTTCTGTGATACAGCGTGAAGACTGATGTGGGAAATGAAGGAAATTAAGGTGGTGGGGTCCACTCTGACCCCACGTTCAATAAGGTGGGCAGAGCCTGACCCCAACAACAGAAACACGCATCCTATCTGCTTGAAGAAGGAAATACAGATGTTTTTCTCTTTCAGTTCATTTCAAACAGCTGTTAAGTTGTTAGCATATGAATCAGTTGTTTGCACCAAGTGACCTCAGAAACAGCTGTCCGGGGCTTCTTTTGGCCCTGGGTGCTTTGAGAGACTTGGTGAGAGGCTGTGACCCCAGGAAGTTGGGAGACTTTCTCTGGTCTGGGGTTAGGAGCACATTTCGAATCCCACTGTCAGTGCACTTGCATCCCTGTGCTGGCGCGGTCCTCTGCTGGCCGTGTGACATGGGGACAGCACAACCCATGGTCTCAGATGCGGTTTGTAGGAGGGGCTTTGTGTGGCTCTTTGAACAGGATCCTGTGAGGCTAAGGTGCTGGCATGTGGGAGTGCCCAGGGCTGCCACTGTTGCTGTCCAGACACAGTGTGGCGGGGGCGGCGGGGCCCTGAACCCTTAGGCTGGGCCCGGGGTACACACGTCACTGCTGGTCTCTCCTGTGCACCTGCTAGTGTGCGTGGGCTTCCACAGGCTTTTGTGGGTGGCTAGGTGAGGGACAAGGAACATGGCCCAGGGTCCTAGCATGCTCACAAGTAGGATGAATGAGCCTCGCTCAGGAGCTAGGTCCCCTTGAAGCCTCAGGGTCCAGGCTTAGAGAGCGGAGGCAAAAGCCCTGGATGTGACAGGTGGTGCTGCGGGCAGAGTCCCAGAGGGCACCAGCCACAGACTGCGTGTCCCAGACCCAGTGGTGGAGCTGTGGGAACATGAGCTGCTGGCTTGACATTTCAAGTAACACTTACGAAATGGACAGGACTGCTGGCGGCTGTGACCCTGGTGCCTTGTCCCTGTAGCCCCATGAAGAAATGGAGGCTCTGGGAGGTAAGGCGAGGCTCCCACCTTCCCGAGGCTGAAGCCAGCCAGAATTTTTTTTTTTTTCAAGCCAAGATTTAAATTCAGGTTAAAGCTCTTCTCTTTGAAAAAGTCATCAGAGCCCCACAAGAAATACCTACAGCCCAAGAGGAGTCTGCCCGGACACCCAGCAGGCTGGCTGTCTTCACCTCGGGTCCCAGGGCGCTGGGCAGAGGACAAGGGGTGCCAGAGCCAGGACACCTGGCTCTGCTGTGGGGCCCTGGTTCAGGTGGGGAGGGACTGGCCGCTGCCCGATCGGCAGTGTCTCAGTGCAGCGTCTGCACGCCGTTGGCATCTGAGGCACATGTGCTGAAGGCGGGCTCTCCAGGCCTCGGCCTCCTCTGCCAGTGGGTCATGATATGGGCACGGACTTTGCCATGTCACTAAGAGAACTGTGGGGGGGGCGGTGTGTGTAGGGGAATGCGCCAGGAAATGCCAAACTTGAGAGGTTTGTTAAGGTAAGACTCGGCGGCCGCAGGCTGTCCAGGGCCATGCCCCCCTGCTGGTGGGGTCCCGGGGGCATGCCGCCCGGTGTGCTAACTGAGCCCTGAGCCGACGGTCAGGTGGACAGGGCCGCTTCCCGGAGAGGCCGCTGGCGCCTGTTCCCCGGCCAGCTGGGCTGTGTACAGCGATGCCCGTCTCCCTTGTTGGGACGAGCTTCTTTTTCCTTCTTCTGAGATGGGATACTAACCTGTGATGATGCCGTTTCTCTCCAGGGGCTCCTGCCAGCTGACCTTGAGGGACGTGTCCAGGATCTCCGTGAAACTCAGATGTCCCACAGCTCCTGGTTCTAGCAATCAAAAATAAAGTCACCTGTTAACACCAGAGCCCCCTTCTCATTGGGTCAAATGTGTGTGGAAAGTTCTAACCAGGGAAGGGAAGCGGGAGCCCAGGCTGGGGCCCACAGGCAGGACTTGAAGGAAATGCCAGTAAGAACCAAGAAGAGGGGAGGGAATTCAAGGTGTAGAAGGCATCCCGGGCACATAAATTGTTTCATCAGCTGTATCTCAGCCATGCTGAGAACCAGACGGGCAGCAGGAGGTTCGTACACACCCCATTCTCCTTCTCCTTGATCTACTCTAATGAGAACAAGCAGGCTGGCTGGGCTCTGAAAAGCGGCGGCTGGCACCCGGTATCCCTGGACGCGCCTTGCAGCGAGCCTCTGGCTGGCGTGGGGTCTCTGCTCTGTGCAGCCAGGGCCGCCCACTGCTGGAAGCAGGGTGACGCCCCCAGACCCAACCCAGAGTTCCAGGCTCCCTACCCCCACCCCCCTTCCCTTGAGGGGACCCACAGGGTTGAGCACTGTGCAAAAGTTCCAGCAACATGCGCTCCTTTGCCAGGAGTTTCTTTGAGCACAGCTGTTCTCTGTGACGTGGGGGGCAGAGGCTCCACGTCATCCGTTAAAGTGAGGAGCTGCTGGGTTGGAGGCCTGTCCCCGGACAGGTAGCTGCTACTCTTAGTTCTTAGCTGTCTTACCACCCCAGCACCACGTCATTTTTCAGAGGAACTGTCTGCCGCTTTGAAAAGCACCCAGAGAAAAAGTCCAAGAGGCCCAATGTGAGGTGAACAGTCCAAGGTCATGGACGTTCATTGCCAGGGGCCCTGACCAGCCTCCTGCCCAGACCCCTCACCCTCTTTGCAGCTGTAGCATGCAAGGAAGGCCAGGCCTGGTCAGTGAGGACCTGGAGCCCCTGCGTGTGGCCCTCTCATAGGGCGGCTTCCTTCCCAGCTCTGCGGGGGTGGGCATGGGGGACACAGAGAGAAGGAAGTGCTTTACGGGAGACTGGAGTCTGGGAGGGAACGGGGATGGGGCGAGGGAAGGGGTCAGAGATGGGCTCCACTGCTGAGGAGCCTGGGTGTGGGTCGGTCGGTTGGTCGTCTCCCGCAGCTGGTGGGGCCACTGGCTCAAGTTCACTCCCTGTGCCTAACTCTGGAGGCCACACTTAACTGAGTCAGGGAGGAAGGAGGGGAGGCTTGATGGGCAGAACCAGAGACAAAGGAGGAACAGAGGAGAATGGAGAGGAGCCAAGGGACCCACCAGCTCAGCACAGACGGAAGAGGCACACGCCCCCGCCCTGGCCCCTCCAGAGCTGCCCCACCTCATGCCTCCCCTGCTCTGCCCTGAACCTGCTACACAGAGATCTTTTTAACCAAAGCACGATGCAGTATTTTAAGCTTCAAATCGGACAGCATGAAGACAAGGGTGCTGGTTTTTCTGCGCGAGAGTGGAGTGGGGCATCCCCACATTCTGGCTGCTGTGGGGCCAGCTCACACAGATAGTGGGTTCAGTACCGGCTTCTCACCTGGCATCTGGACAAAGCCTCCTAATACATCTAATTAAAAAAAAAGAAAAAAGATGGAAACAGCCTCAGCAAACACACTCATCTAGGTGAAACTTCCGGAAGACGTTTTATGGTGAAGCTCCAACCCCGATAAAGGCCACTCTCGGGGCGGGGGAGACATAGAACTGCTGGTGAATCCCACTCATCTTTCTCCAGGTCTGAGTTTCCAGAAAGACATTCTGACGGATTTTTGAACGGACTTGTTCTTTTTTCGATCGATAGAGAGGCAAAGAAAGCTTTTTGCTCCTTTTATATTCTCAGTGTTTCTGCTTCTTGGATTCCTGCCCAAATCTGCTGTCCCCTAGCTCTACTGGAACCAGCTGGCAATGTCTAGCCTTAAAATTCATATTCCGTTTCCCCCGTACTGTGTTGCCCGCCTCCCCCATCACCCTCTTTCCCCCCTGGGTTCTGATCGCGTCGGAGCTTCAGAAAAGGAGGCCCGTGGGATGCGGAGCCAAGGGAGGTGCCCTCAGCTGGAGAGCACATGGGGCCAGGCCAAGCCAGCCTCGACTCCCAACCTCGCCACGACACAGTCCATGCTCTGAACAGCGTCAGCAGGCCCCCCAGCTACCGAAAACTGGTGACTCTGTTAGAAAAATTCTAAAGAGGGGTCATCAGTTCTAGTTCTCTCAATTCCCAAGAAAGAAATGTCCAATTGCTCTTTTTACCTACTAATGGTGGGCAAAAATTCCCTTAAGGCTCTGCTTCCTGGCCACAGAGCTGAATGGGGTGTGTCCCCACGGTGTCTGTCGCTTGCTTAGCTGGCAACAACTGGGTTTCCGTCTTTGAGCAAAGAATTCAGCCAGGACTCTTCTCTTTTTCCTTTGGAAGGAGTTACCTTCTTCTGCCACTTTGTCTTTTTAATCAACGTCCTCTGGAAAGTGAAGTCTGATACGATGCAGTCAGACATGGCTGTGGCTTGAGCAGAGGTGTTGCCCCAGCCTCTGCTTTGGTAAGTGAACTAGATGAAAACGTCCACGTAATGCAGAGGTGTAAGGGGGAGCTTCCAACATTTGTCCCCCGGCACTGCCCTCCGCACCCCATCTACACACAGAAGGGAGTTGGGCTGAGTCTTCCTACGGATGAGTGCAGAAAGTATCCTATGTCCACGCCAGGCTCTTTCTTCCTCCAAGACCCCATGCGGGCCCCCTGCATGCCCCCCCTGCAACCTCAGTCCCACACGACTGGGCCCACACCCCCTTGTCGCACACCTTGGCCCACCAGATCCCTACAGCGACTTCATCTGCTCAGGGGGCTTTACCTGCTGGGGACCTTAGAGCTCAGACACCCTGAGGTGGAATGGATTTCAGATATTTCCATCTGGGGTTAGACCATATACTCAGTTACCTTCCCTAATCCTTTCCTGGAAAGTAAGATCGCAGTTGGGAATTGCCAGGACTCCCAAACCTACTCAGACACAGGGGCCCAGATGCTCTGCAGTCGCCACACACCAGGCACACCCCAAGTTGGTGCAGCGTCTTCACCCACCCAAGACCCGTTTCCTACTTTGGTGGCCTCATTGCCCTCGTAGTCACATAAACCAAAGCACATTGAGTCATCCTGGATAATCCCTTCTACCCCTCTATCAGAGAGCCCCCAAAGTCCCTGTGACGTGTGCTCAGGATCCATCCCCCTCGCTGCTGTCTCCATGGCGTGGGTGTGGGCTCTCTTCATCTTATGCCTTCTTCCCGGCTTCCTTCACCTTGAGCTCCAGAGCCTCCACACAAAACCCGCAGACAGAACTTCTGAAACATGGATTAAGTCAAAGCACACCCCTCATGGAGAACCTTCTGTGGGTCTGTCCAAGTGCCTGAACGTAGCAGTTGAGACTCTTCTGACTCTGGTTTTCTGGGGCTTGTCCCCTCCCCGACCCCCACATGCCGCACCACGGCCACGCCAAACACCTCGCTCCTGTTCTCTCAACCTCGCATTCTCTCCTTGCTGCCACAAATGTGGTTTCTCCCACCTGCAACGCCCTCAATTCTTCTCGGCTCATCTGTTAAGACCAGCTCAGTTGCCACCTTATCTACAAGACTTACCTGCTCCCTGATGCTCCTCGACCAGCTGCTTTTCACTGGGTGGTGGCAGCCACATCCCTCGACCTCCCTTCTTGGTGGCACTGGCCTCAGCCACGTCCCTCACGTCTGACTAGGTGAGAATCTCTAAAGGCAGAGGCTCTGCTCATTTATCTCTGTAACCCTTTCAACATCCAGCTGGCTGCCTCATACATGTCCACAGACAACCTGAATATAAGTGCGCATGCTCATTTCTGCGTTGGGAAGATGGATGAATGGACCGTTCAATTAACATTTAACTACAATACAATCACAGTAGGAACAAGACTTGATGAGACAGGCGTACATTTTTTTTTTTTAAATGGAAAAGCTGATCTTGATCAGCCTCCTTTAATCCTAAACTCTGGTTTGGGCCAGTGTATACAAATTTATAATTGAAAAACAGATCTCACAGCAGAATACACATTACTCTTCTCAAGCACTCATGAAACATTCACCAAGACTGAGCATGTGCTGGGCCATAAAGCAAACTTCCAGAAACTTAAAGGAATTGAAGTTTTACAGTGTGCTCTCTGACAATTATGGAATCAGGCAAGAAATTCACAGCAGAAAGACAATAGGAAAATCTCCACACCCACAGGAACTAAATGGCATGCTTCTAAATAATGCATGGGCCAAATAGGAAGTCTTAGAGGGAATAAAAGCACATAGAACTGAGTGAAAATGAAACACAATATATCAAAATATGTGGGGTGCAGCTAAAGCTGTGTGGAGAGGAAAATTTATGGCATTAACTCTTTATAAAAGAAACGAGGACAGGCCTCAAATCAATAGTTTAAGTACCTACCTCAAGAAATGAAAAAAGGAAGACCAAAAAATAAACCCAAAGCAAGCAGAAGGAAGGAAATATTAGCAGCAAGAATCAATGAAACTGAAGATTGGAAAACAGTGGAGAAAATTCAATGAAATAAGCTGGTTCCTCAAAACAAAACAAAACAAAACAAAACCAAAAAAACAATGAAATTGACAAATCTCTAGGAAGAATGACAGAAATAGAAAAAGAGATCAGCAATATCAGGGATGAAACAAGGAAGATGATGACATATTCTACAGCCATGGGAGGATACGAAGGGAATCCTGCCAGCAGCGTTACACGCACAGACACGACAACTTAGAGGATCGGTTCCTCGAAAAATCACAGACTGCCAATGCTCAACCGAGAGGAAGCAGACAATAGAATAGTAAAATAACCACTGGAGACACTGAATTTATAATTAAAACACTCCCCCAAAAGAAATAGCCAGGCCCAGAGGATTTCATTGGAAAATGCTACTAAACATTTTAAAGACGGATTGATACTAATTTTACACAATGTCTTCTAGAAAGCCAAACAGGGGCTGGAGCACCTGGGTGGCTCTGCTGGTTAAGCATCT